TATCTTTTGAAATTATATTGACGACTTCACCTCAGCTAACTAAACTATCAGTATTAATGTAAGCTAATTAACAAATTTTCCTCCCAACTACTCGTCAGCTCTTAGCTGCCAAAATAGAAGAGAAGCAGTTATAGGAATTATCAAAATATTCCCCCTTGCACTGCTTATATCCTGACAGTGATCACAGATTTCAGCACTATTCTCGGAAAAATTGAAACTCTTAATGTTGAAAAAGAAAAAGCAAACTTACTTGAGCCATCTGTAATGGAGACTGAGAAGCTATCACGGTTTCGGAAGTTGTTGGGGACCCATCTTTGTATCTTTCATCGGTCGATTCTCCAATATTTGCAGGTGATGGTGACTTGAGATGAATATGGCTTACTCGAGACTTCAGGTAATTCATTCGATTGGTACGCCATTTCTCGAGCTCAACATAAGCAGGCTCTAGTTTCTCCTCACTTATGTGATTCTGCAGGTAATCCCCATTTCCTGCCGCATTCCTACTCTGTTTCCCACGCTTACCCACCGCGGGTCGTTTCGACTTCATAAAGTCCTTTGTCCTGCACTTCAAAGGTGTAAGATGGACAGCACTGAAAGTATGATTCGTTTTCTACCACGACTCTATTCAGCATGTCAGCTCATTATGTATCGCAGAAGCTATTCCGGAACACATTTCAATTTGGTACAATTTACACGGACAGAGTGGGATATGCTATCTACTAAAGTGCAATAAAATAATAGGTTCCGGTCCTTTCCTGACAACCCAATTTTTGTTCCCCACTTTTTTAAATGGTCCATGTTATATAGCAAAAATGGCTATAAAAAGAGTTAATAAAGAAATCGCAAAAAATAGTACTATCCCGAACTATCACTATGAACTGAACCATACACGTTTTCCCGAATTATCATTATGACTTGAGTCGTACGTTTTCAACTCAACGATTTCACTTTTCTGTGCTTCTGCTATGCATTCTCCCAGAAAACCTTTCGACAAAGTAAGTGACAATGCTCGAAGTAAACGAGACTTTATCCTTTTCCGATATATAATATTCTTTTGGGAAAAAAAAATAGAAGGAGCATAAATGTAAAGTTGCGCATATGTATTTTAAGGGAGATTTGTCCTTTAATACAGTACCACTATAGCATCACATACGACAAACAATTCAGCAAAAATATCGTCCAGAAAATGATAAAGCACAAATTATTTTGAAATATGTTCCAGCGAGGATTTCGACTGATTGCCTTAATCGCAACAATTCGGGAAGAAACCTGTTTTGCCGTTGGATAGATAGGACAGTTACGGATGCGGAGTGACGTCCCTCAGTATTTGAACTCTCCATCGATCGTCAGTCCTGACAGGATTAACAGGATTAAAGCAATCATCTTAATCTTCCTTGCTTGCATAGCTGGATGAATCTCACCTACCTATTCATATCTTACTGCTTCCTTACTATGTAGCACTACAGGTGAATGCCTGCTGTGTTGGTATTCGCGCTGCAAATGTTGCATTACTTATTTTACTTTATTTGCTATCACTTACTTACTTACTACTTATTTGTCTGAAAGTTACTCCACGTTATGTTAGCAATGCTTATTACTCATTCATTAATATTATCAGCTGCTAACTCAAATTTTCACTCATCTTCCATCAGTAATTACTGATACTGACCAACAAACTTATTACTTTATCTGTGAGTAGTATTACTTTTTCCTTTGCATATCATTTACCATTTGACTTACCCACTTATATTTGTCAGTTAATGTCACTATCCCTGTGCTTACCTATAAACCACCTATTTACCCATAACACTGTCCTCTTGTCTCAATGCCCTTCCCCACTCACTACCCAAGTGATACGTGCAACATGGAAATTGTCATAGCCCCAGTCAATTGACTTAGCTACCATTCCGGTTACTGTGCACAACAAAATCAGGGATTAATCTGAAAAGCAACAAACTTATTTGGTGCGATGACAATATCTATTCCAACGGGTCCAATAGACACAGACACACTCAGCACCACATTTGCCGACCGACCGACCGACCGACCGAGAGACAGGCGGACGGACAGACAGACACACACGTACTCACTCGTGGACAGACGCGTATATAGACGTACACACACTCACATACATGACAATATCCATTCGAACGGGTCCAATAGATGACATCAACATCACGAATTACCTTCCCTCATCGACCGACTGACCGACAGACACACACATGTACAGACGAACAGACAGACAGACAGAAGTACGTAAGGAGAGAGCGGCAGAGAGGAGAGGTATGGTAATATAACAACGACTATGAATAAAAGTGAGGTGGTAGTGAGGGAGCACGTGTTTTGGGGAGAGTCAGAGCAGTGTAATCAATAAAGCAGTATGTGTGGCTGAGTGGTGAGGTTGGGTGTGAGTGTCGAATCGGGATGGCGGGTGATTCCCCGGTACTCGACGGGTAGGTCTGGGGTGGGTGCGGGCAGCAAGAAGGAAGGATGGTGATTTCCTGAACGGGGATTAGACCGGATGAATGTTTACGGGAGAATTGGTATACTGTTTGTTTGCTCTTCCGGATATCCCGCAGTAGCGAGTTCTCGGCGTGTTGCTCCAGTTATCTGCTTCCGAAGACAACTCCCAATGCACTCTTGGCCCTAAAATTAGCCAGCCAGTGTCGCTGTCCACCAATCATAAAGTAAGGATGGCTGCAAAATATTCTTAACACGCGTTATTACGTTATCACTTCCGGTAAACATATCTACGTGAGAACCGGACAAGACTGTTCGCGTCCCTTTGCAATTTAATAATAATGATAATAGTATTGATTAGTACTAATGACTGATGTTAGTTTGATAACGGCGATGGCAACCATTTTCACTGATCAGTGAAAAGTTAGGGTTTCAGGTATCTTTGTCAGTTCCTTTCGAGAATTTTATTCAGCATTGCGAATACACTTCTTGTTATTGCCGGAAGCTTGTTGCAATTGCGCTTTTGGTCTAAGTACGGTCAAAAATGCAATCATTGGTTTGGGATTTTTTCGACTAAACGATGTACAGTTGAAACCATATAGTTTTCATAAATGGTAATGAATGAATATGTAATTAGTGATTCTGGAGGGATCAATCCGGCACAGATGGATCCGTTTTCAAGAATAAATCCTTTGTTCTGAAAAGCTGAGTTGCAACAAAGTGAGGCCAAAAACAATTATGCTTTCCTTAACAGTTACTGATCCAGTGACAGTGAAATTAAGAAAGGTATTGCAGATCAGAAGCAAATAGTTGCCAGTACCTGTTAGCCTGCTCATCCGTTGCAGGCTAGAGATCATCCGTCTATTCTTCGCTCAGCAGCAGTAACCTCGTTATTAAGATGTGTCCTCTAAGTGATCAATTAGCATGTTTGGCTGTCAACCGAAGTCTGTTAGCAATTCCAAGCCCAACTTAGATGATCATTGTTTTTCTCAACGTTAGAAAAAATTCAGTGAAAAAGCACGTCAATTTTAAAACGAATTTTAGGGAATTACATCCATTCCGGTGTGCTATACTACTGTATAGCTAGATAACTGTAATGAATCTTCTGAAGTTCCTGGTTCGAAAGTGTTCGCACTGCTGTAAAGGATCATTATCGAGAGAATTAGATGGCTTAATTTTTTATGACATCGCAAAGACACTATTTACAGTAGATGTTTCCAATAAACCGAAAACAATATATGAGAAATACATAAAAGATAGGAAAACAGAAATCTAATCACGAATTACACGAGTGGACATCTTTCGTCATGGTATTAACCAGACGAACTGTTGAATACATGTCTAGGTTTCTGGACTGAACATTAGCAAACTGCAAAACTTCAAACTGTATTGTTTTGCTAAACTAACAATCTTAACCAGCAAAACCTATCATCTTATATTATCTTTATACGCCATTCTGTAAAACCTTAAAATGCCGTAATATTGTGACACTGTGAAAACACACAGCTAGCTGAAGGGAAAGGAACGGATTGTTTTATGATTTGTACACATCATGATTTGATGTAACAACTGAACTGTAGTTCGTTATGGAGCAGCAAGGGAAGATTAAATTACAAGTGTGTAAGATTACATGGAACCAAGGAAGGTCAAAGAAAAAAGTGCCGAGAACAATTATACATTTCGCATATTTATAGAGGAGAGGTATCAAAATAATGACGCGAATACACTTTATCAATAACCTCTTCATCAATTTATACATTTTAGCGAACGAAATATAAATGAACAGACAGGAAATAGCAACACTTCATTATTTGTACAGAGTTATTTGTTGCAGTATTCACATTTACTAATATCATATGCTATTGACATTCGTTTCCTTCATAAAAACTTAGCTCTTTAGTGAAAATTAAACACCTGAGAACTCTCGCCACGGAACTGAAAGCTTTCAAAACCAGAAAATAATTTAAGAAGGTCAATGTTTTTTCGAAAGTTTCCAAACACAACAAATAAGTGACAATAACATCAAGAATCATCCTGACATCTAAGAATTAGAATAGAAGCTTCACGCAACTAGCAGAAATTGCCCGAAAAAAAGTTACGATCCTAATCCATAATCAGATTTTTTGGAGGAAATAATTTTCTCCGAAACAACTCAAAAATAGTGGTAGCTGAAGAATGTTTCAAGTTGCATGTTATCAAAGTTACAGTCACTTCCGATTAATTACAATCTTTTGAAAAGCTACACGGCATTCAGTTATGAACATTTAATATTACTCCTAAATCTATTGCCACATTTATCTATCTCTCAGCAAAATATTATCATTTTTTGATTAACCAGCGCATGCATCTTCCGATAAAAGATGCAGAATCTTGGCGCAAATCGGAATGTCCGTTAAGTTTTCCACAAGATACCTATCTATCAATTCTGACTGCTAAATAATGAAAACAATTTCTTTATGTTAGGATTTTTTACCGTAATTGAACCACAAGCTACTCATAAATTAACTGATAATAGCAAGAAAACCAAACAGAGCTACGCTCTAACTTGCATTACAACCAACCCGTCTTCCACGTTCAACATCGTCGTCATCGCCACCCTGCACAGCTAATCCTATAGACGCAACTACCATATCGAATATACCTGTATGCATTCGCTTCTGATTCGCTGCTGAGAGAGACGTAAGACGATGTAACTCACGTCCTGCTTCTCTGCTGTCCTACAAACGGTAAACAACGATACATCACTCTATGAAAAAAAGTGTAGCTAACAAAAATTGAATTTTCAATAATCTCTACAACAAGCACAATATTTCTAAAATCTATTCAAATCTATAAAATAATTATCTTCTTAAATTAACAAAAGAACTATTAGAGGAAACAAGAGATCTCTCCGCATCCTTAATACATACGAAAAGTCTACACCACCAGGTGAGAATAAAATTTCAAATCTTGTCCACCTAACTTGATCCCTTTGTAATTGTCTTTTTTGTTTTAACGAACAGAACTAATGTAACTATTTTTATCTAAACAGTAACTCTATCAACAATGCTTAATGATAAATACATGATTTACCTTGAAAAGCTGATAACAGCGTTCCTAAGCTAACGACTGGCAATGTTTCTGAATGCTTTATGAAATTGATGAAATCAGAGAACTAATTCAGACATATTTTAGACAATGGAAAATACGAACCCTTTGAAAATCCTCATGAAGTGGTTCCCAGAACCGAATGACATGCTCAATTCCGGAGGTTGCAAGCAATAAAATTGATGGATGGGGTTGTACGCAATTCAAAATATTCATATCTGCTTCAAATCCTTTTATCAAAGCACCTGATTTCCTCTCCCAAATCAGCAATGAACCACAATCACTACCTGCGGCGATATATTCATCCCTACCACCAAACCAAACAGCTTCCTGATAATTAAATTTTGATAGTATTACATAAATCTGTAAACAGTGTTATACGTAAGAAAGTACGGGACATAGAAAAGAAAAACCAAGAAGAAATTCATAGAAAATCCATTACAAAGCATACTTTTATATCGGTATTGGTATTGCAATGTCCACATAACCGCTGAACGTAGTCTGAACAACCATTTGAAGTCCAAGTTTTTTGCCCTGTAGGATCAGTTTGTAATACAGCATCTAGCCTATCGCAAGAATGCTCATCAGGAAAGCGTTCCTAGAAAGATTTGATATGAAGTCATACTATTTCATCCTCATATTAAATGCTAATGCATAAGCGAAGCACAAATTATATTCTATTATAGTGCAACGTAGAATCTTATTCTAGGTTTTAATAAACCACCCAGAACATCAGCTAGATCCAATGGATTAAATTCATAAACCAGTGTTCTCAATTATCCGTAAGATTTCGGCTGATGGCACACAATTATTTTATTTCTGAATTATTCTGAACAGCTTCGGAATTTTTCCCACTATACCCTATTGCTCCAGTTCAATTATGATTTAGTAATGATCCGAGATATTAGTAACAAACGGATTTTACTACTTAACATATGTTACAAATGAACCTTGAATAGTTTTGAAATTTTCCTCGCCATATCATATTGCTTCAACTCAATTAAGGCTCTAGTAATTCGGTAATGTACTTTGCTATTTCTTGGTTCAATTTTTAAGGCTCGTATCAGGTCTAGCAGTGCAGCATATGCGTCACCATCCCATAACCTTCGCAAATAGCTCGCCCCACGATTTGCTAATAGCAAACATAAATCCATCGAATGAGGATGTCCACGTGGTGGATCGTGCCTGAACAAAGCCTACCAGAAATTTTAACTTTTTTAAGCTGAAAAAATTCCTTCCAATAATGAAAAAAATTTTTTGAAACAATCCGAATTATCCCAACTTCGGAAGAAAATGTCTGTTTTTTTAAAAATAGATATCTCCATAATTTTCCAATAAAAATTCATCCTAAATGAAACTGAAATCTAAAAATTGATGCCGAGACTTAAAAGACTCAACACATAGATTTTGCTCTCTCCATGAAACTCTATGAAAATTCATGCTAGAAATTTAATGAATCAGCAATCAGCATATTCAACATATTTTAAATTTAGAAAATTTTGAGATGGGCAGCTTACCCACATAATTTCTCACAATCGAGAATTGTCTGACTGTAGATATTAATCGCATCAGTATATTCCTTATTATTGAAATGAATTTTTGCTAATTCACGCTCTCCTCTAAAAACTTCTGTTGTTGTTTTATCAAAACCAGGGAAACCTCCAGTACTCAATAAATTACGAACCGGATCATCAATGAAACTATTAAGTGACTGCAGTGCATCTGGCTCGTGTGCTCTGAAAAAAGAAAGTATAAAAATTTAAAAAAAATAATTTTGCAGTTTTGTATAATCTGAATTTCATTTAAAGCATTCATTTTAAGATGATTCCAATTCATCTCTGTGTTACCAACCAAACAGATATAAGTGAGCAGTTTAACTGTATTGAAACAATTGAGTTATGTGCAGATTTTCAATACTGGCTTCTTACTATATCCATTACTTATTCCATCAATGATCGAATCCACTAACTATACTATATTGAAAACATAGAAGGTACAATTAAGACACTTTTTAATCTCAAGTTGTTAAAAAAAAGCATTACCGATCAAGAACATTAAATATGTAAATTTGTTCTCCGCCGATATTAACAATGAGTTCATTGCCTAAAGAATTGAAACCAACATGGGTCACTGACAGTGTCCTAAACGGATGACGCGAGGATGAATCGGAGATTGGAATGTGACCTAAAAGAATGGAAAAATTATGAAAAATGGTTGTGGAAAAGGTGAACCACAAGAGACTTAAAAGAATTTATTTCCATTGTTAATAAGGATGAATGGTCTGAAAATTAAAAACACAGAAAATGAAATTAATTTGGTCCTTCATTCTTATATTCTTACCAGGTTAATATGCCAGGAACTATTCTGCGATATCCACGATACGCTCATGATGACAAGCCTACTAATACTGTTAAATCTACTCAACAAATTATGATCCTTCAAAATTCAAAAAAAAAAACCAAAAATAATAACAAAAGATGTCATGATAGAAAATACCTGGAATAACAGTAAATAATGGTTTCGAGACATTCCGTCGATCATAAAGAGGAACAGGAGCTTCATTCAAAGCAACCGCAATCATTTCTGGACGATTCTCATTTATTGCCAATGATTTACACTCTTTCTGATCAAATTCGATTAAACTTGTAGCTTTAGCGGTGCGAACATCATATTGCCTATAATTCGCTCAATCTCATATATCAACTTTTCACTAATTTCAAAGCGAAAGCTCCACTCAGGATTTAATATTCAAGTAAAATAGCGTTCGTGTGAAACAGGAAAGTAGATCTATCTTGCATCGAAGAAATGGAATTAAAAAAATTGCAGTATTCTATTTATATCTACCAAGAATAGGCATCGCAACGCCTTACAAAATTATAAAGCAAAAATATATCGTGCACAGTCTATTACTGACGAATGAGTAAGTAGTCTCGTTTAATCCATTAATCAACAAGTTTGTTAATAGTTTTGACAGAGAATAGATTTGATGAGCAAAATATATTGTAACACTAACAACAACTCAAAGAAGATCCTTACTCCTCTTGAAATTACTGCCACTGGTATCACAGCATGAATACTTACTTGATGAAACCGTCTTCTGCAGCAGACCAAAACAGATATGGGTCAGCGCGTGTTATAGCTAAACGCTTTACACGACCTCCGGACCACCATACGTAAGGCACATCAGACCGAGAGATCGAGTGCATTCTTACATTACCATCACCTGCAATATACAGTTAATGATTTTTGAATAAGAATTTTAGAACTTCACTTAAATCTCCATTTTAATCCTACAAAATCTTTATAGCCCTCGTGTAATAGCTATTAGAATAGCTTTCTGTTATTCTCAAACCATCTTTGCAATAAAGCTGAATTTCAAAAGGAAATAAGCTTTTTATTTTTCTGAAAAATGAAAAACAATTCCTGAAAAAGTAAGAAGACGTAATATAAAAAGTCTATTTCAAAAATACGAAAAAGAAAATAAAGAAATGAGAAATGCAAATCCATTAAGACAAAAGTGATGAGACATGAAGACAGAAAAGTTGAATATTTGATACATGTTTTCTAAGAAATTCGAATGCCAGTAGTTACGTGAATAGTCGTTAAATGTTGGTTACCTGCAGCACTTATCAACAAGTCATCGCTTCCACTCGGTAAAAATTGCACCGAAAATATATTATTCATATGACCGGACTTGATACAGTCCAAAGCTTTACCTTCCACATTCCACAAACGAATTTGCATATCATCGGAACCACTTGCTAATAAGCTGCAATAAAGATCGTAACTTTTACTTCTGGATGAATATATCGGAAATAATAAGTTCAAAGGCTAACCTTCCTGAAGCATTCCACTGTAAGCAATTTACACATCCTTCATGACCCTACAATTAATAAGGATGGAACTTTTTGAAAATAGAATGGGATATTTTAATTTTACATCACTTGTTGATATCTCACGTAAAAAGTTTCCTACTCTTGAATTTCTGTACTAATTTTCTTACATACTCAGCACTATCAAAGAACTGTCTCCTCACATATTCTAGCTTCGGTATCTCTTCTTTGTCTACTGAACTGAGGCTATTCTGATACTAGTAACGAATAATAACGTTCACACTTTTGTCATTTTTTACTATTTACGTCTTTAATTTAATCTTTAATTAACTTTGAAACAACGAATGGTCTTCAGTTGAGTATGATATAAAATTCAAAATGCTTACATTTGTTTTATAAAAGATACCAACGTAAAGGAATACGATTTTGCACGTTATAGAAAAACAAATTTAAAAAGAAAAATTATTAAAAATTTTTAAAAAAATTAGAAAATATAGATTTCTTATTATTAAAAACCAATAAAATGGAAAAGGCCGAAATTAGTACTAACTTTCAATGTTTTACTGTGACCAAGACGATCCAAAAAGTTCCGTGTACCCAATGCATTTCTTTGAAAATTTATGGGTCTTAAATGCAATTCGCGATAAAGAAGATTTTCTTCTAAGTGCTGTGGAATCATTGCTATTCAATTATTTCAAATAACTTAGTAAATTAAAGAACCTGAAATACAAAATTCAAATCATGAACATTATTTTAAATACAAAGAAGAAACATAGTGATAAAATATAATGCAAAAAGACACTGAAGAGGTAAACATCACAAATTAGTCAGAATATCTAACGCCAAACGAGAATTTTATACAAGCATCAAAGAACTTAGTCTCCAACAGAAGTAACACCAATATCTTATGGCAAAATTATAGCATACTTTGTAAACATCGCAATTAAATTATTGAAAAAAAATTCCTTGAAATGGATGTTTCCGGTTCCATAAGGATATAATTACAACCCACACTTCAAAACCTCAAAGAACAGGGATCCTTACAATCGACTGACTTTAATAAACACGTGAAAATTTAGAACAAATAAATCTATCTACTTTAACAAGTCTTTGCTTTAGGAATTTATCAGCTGTCATTCTTTTATGGGTATCATTCCGAGTAAGAAATAATTAATCCAAGTCTAAAGTAAACATTAAATGAGTTTTACAAATTATCATCACTCTTAACTACTAACTCTCTTGCTAAATATACAGAAATAAAGGCCACAGAGGGAAAGAGGAATTAATTCATCTTTCCCTCGTAACTAATCGATGAAGTTCTAAAATATGTACTAATCTCCTACTAGAAGATAAAATTTTTAAAGTGATAAGTCTCATAAACTTACACAAAGAAACTCCAGTCTGACAACAATCTTCTTTCTTGACGGAACACTGACACCCAAATCCCGGGAAGGAGTAGGCAACCGCACGAGTCGCAGCTCAGACAACCTTCCACAAGACAGCTATGAATCTGAAATAAATGGGATCAATGAAAAGTGCTAATATATAATAAATATATCTATAGTCGTGATCAGTATGATTTGTTTAAGTATGAAATTATAATAAACTGGAACTAGACGCGACCACAGACATTCATACCATCCTCCCTTAATTCAAAGTTATCTGAATGTAGCTATGTAGATTAAACATATGTTATATATTATAAGAAGTAGCTCTTCATCCACAAACATTTACGATCATAAGCTAAAATGAACAAAGATGGACCCAAACACACGTAACACACAGTAAACTTCTCGGTGAATTCCAAGATGTTACATCACGTATTCAGACTTCTGATGTCCGTCACGTAAAACACGCCCTTGCTCGGAAGTTTTGAAAATAACAATAGCAAGCAATTGGAAGCAGTGCTCAAATACTATTCATTCCATATAATTATGCATTGTGGTGCTGCAACTATGGGGAAGAGTCTTAACACGAATAATCACCGTATTTTATTGGCAGTTAGTCAATTATCTCGAGATGTGCTCTCATCGATTGAGACATTCCGTTTTCACTGGAGGGGTTTAAATTGTTATTTGTTAGCTGTGCGTGTTTCGGGTTGACGTGCTGGCGTTCCTCGTTCACGTACGGGTGCGTGCTTTCTCACTTGTTTATTTATGTCTGCTCTTCCTTCCCGAATTGAACGGCATGCGTGTGTCCGTGTTCTGATGTCTACAATTCTTTGAATGTTTGCTTTAGGTACAATGAATTGACTTTCAAAGTGCTAGGACATTTCACTGTTGTTTTTATCGGAATTCTATCTACCGTAGCTGCGTACTCCTGCACGTGTTCCCTCACGTGAGACTACCAAGTGACGATAGATAGAATGGTGGATTGCCACTAAGCGTCTACTTGCTGCCTTCTTTTGTTCCTTACTAAGAGAAGATTACACCTATTTTGTGCCTCTTTCGTATTGAAGTGTGCATTTCACATAATACTTTTTATCTGAAATTATCAAACTCAAATTGATACAGATCGCTCTGTTGCAGTTAGCTTCATTTCAGCTTTTAATTTTCTCTTGCCAAAATTTTATAACTCTTATCTGCTTTTTTTTCTGTTTGTTCCATAGTGGTTATGCAGGATGAATTTTGCACTGTATTATCTAACTGTAAGTAATAAAATAAATAACTAACCTCCATTTGAATTTCTCATAAGTCTTTTCGTAGTTCGTTGATTATTTTCATTACAAGCTATGAATGCAGTTCCAGATAACTGCTTCCGCAATTTCATAATAGTAAAACCGTAGCTCTCTAATGTTATGTACTTCTAATGTCGTATTTAAGGGAAAGAAACTCCCGATTTATAAATCACTTTCGGGTTATCAGCTTATCTGTCTTTTGATATTATCTTAGATGATTGATTCGAAAAAACAAAGGATCTTTCATTCTTTTTTTTTTTTTGCTTTTCCCTTTCCCACCTAGAGGAATTTTGATTCGATGTTTTCTCATGATCTAAATTTGCTGAAACACGACTTGTTCAACCTAATCTTCGTGTACATGCACACGTGCGCAATTCTACATGGTATCGTACATAAAGAAAATTTTTATTGTCAGTACCGTGAAGTCTTACCTGTGATTTTGATGCTGATGCATATCTGTTAAATGTTGGCTGAAAACTATAAAAAATATTTTTTTCGAGATATTTCATTCCTGGCCAATTTTTCCTAGCATGCATCTTTTGGATATTTCTCTGATGTCTTGGAAAGATACTTTTTTTGTGATAGTGGACAGATATGTGATTGATTATTATATAGTGCAGCAATGCCAATATTATCAATATTTCTGCTTTTTTGTCTGTTATGTTATTATCAGTACCTGTTTTTTACCAATATATTATGAATATCTGTTTTTGTCATACCAAAGAAAGAAAAAGAGTGAAGATAGGTCTTCTTTTACCATAGGTTTAATAGTTTACTACTTTTTGTCACATTCTGTAATTTATAACAATTCGACAATGATTATAGTATGTGGTCGATTTTGGATGCTTAAAATGGAAGCAAATCACAGTGTAACAAGCGAATGCGTGCATTAATTGAAACAGTTTGACATTATTAATATGGAATGTTTTCTGCTTTCCATCTGTTTAAACTTTTAGGGATTGCACTTTTGATTTTATTTTTTTTTCCTGATTCTTCCCAGTTGAGAAAGTTCTTGCTTGTTTCTTTGCCGTTGTTAAAATTCGAACATATACATATACGGGGTGATTTTTTAATCTGTCATTGCTATCATGTCGTTAAGCTGCACTTCAATTACGATATTCACATCTGCATTATATTCTCTAAGGCCACTGTTACCAATTGAAGTTACAGTTTTTTGTAGCTTCTGACGCAAAATCAACATAGGTGAATCCTTATATACTTTATGTGACCATAGTGTTTTGCATATTTCAGATGGATAAGCGCATAGAATTGGAATTACGAGGTCGGGATCCATCTGAAGTAACCGAACTGAATCTTGACAATTGTCGGGCAACTGCTGTTAGTGGTCTTACGGAGGATTTCAAGAGTTTAGAAACATTGTCAATGATCAATGTTGGATTAACTTCACTGAAGGTAGAAAAAAAAAAAAGCTTTTATGGAAATTCGTTAAAAAAATTGCAAAGTTTCTGCAGTAATTCTTGACTATTTTCAATTTGTTTTTTTTCTGGTAATTAAAATATGTTGCCGTATCATATTTTGAACTGCTGTAGCACTGATATATTTTAAACTTTTCTTCCTTATTAGGGTTTACCACCACTACCCTCTCTTCAACGATTGGATTTATCGGAAAATCGGATTTCTGGTAATCTGGATCAGTTGCTATGCTGTCCGCACATAGAATACCTCAATTTGGCTGGTAATAAAATCAGCACACTGAAAGTTTTGGAACCGCTGAAAAAACTTGAGGAATTGAGGTCACTGGATCTATTTGGCTGTGAATTAGCCACATCTGATGATTACAGGAAAAATGTCTTCGAGGTTGGTTGTTTTTCTTGGTGTTTGCTACATAGTCGACTTTGCAGTAATCACAAAGGAAATGCTATCTGGTGGGCAAATGTTGAAAACAAAGCAAACAACGAATAACTTTTCACAAAGCGCAAAAAGTAGTTCTGTGATCTTATTTTCCAAAAGGAAATAGTTGAACATATCAGCTGGTTTTGGAGATCGCTAAATGTTTGAAATAAATGGTAAAATCGAGTTATGAATATTATTTTTGGCTTGCTGAGATTGAGTTTTATCTAATAAGGATTGCCGCTCAAAATCGCATTACCCATGTGATTTTTTGAAATAGTTGCAGTCAGTGAATTATGCGGTTGCTTTTTATCCACATTAAGCAGTTAAGTGATGAAGCGCGTCCTTGTTAAATTGCAGAGTAACTTTTCATCATTCTTGATTTTTATTTGAGAGAAGCGTCTTCACTCAAAGATTTCTAGCAGAATATGCAGTTGGTTAGAGTAATAGGGAAATTTGTTTTAAGCGAGCAAATTTTGTTCTTATAGATATTACCTAACCTGAAATATCTCGATGGATATGATATCAATGATGAGGAAGCAGAATCGGACAGTGAAATCCTGCAGGAAGGCGGCGATGACGAAGATGATGATGATGGTGTTGGTGATGGACTGGACGATACCGATAACGATGATGAAGGCAATGACGACGAAGAAGACTCTGATGTTGGTTTGGATTATCTGCAGAGTTCTACTGTGATGCAGGTGTCTAATGTTTTATTTTCTGCACACGTATCAATAGAACTTCTGTTTATGGTAAAGTGTAAAAAAAATGTTTTTTGTTTTCATGTTGAGAATTGATATGTCCCACACTTATGCTCATTTAGGTTAAATGGGATGATTATGAATTTTTTGATCACTGGAATTTATTTTTAGGATGAAGATGAAACAGAAGACTTCGCTCCAGGAGATGAGGAAGAAACGGATGAAGCGGGAAGTCTACGGGGTGTGAAACGGAAACACGAAGAGGACAATGATGATGAAAATGAAGGTACAAAACGAGAAGCGTAGAATTATACTGTTCCCTACAAATGGCCACGTAACACTTTTCATTATGCGAAAATCCGTGGAAAAAAAGAAAATTTTAATATTTAAAGAATAGGTTCTTCCCGAGCAGATTTCTGGAGTGTTTCGGATATTTATAGTTTTCTTCCCAGTAGAAGACATTCGTTTTCTTCCCAGTAGAAGATCAATAAATTAAATTACGGGAAAATAGAAAATTGCTACATTGTGCCATCAGGAATGCAATCTCATTATCTGTTTATTTGTTTGCTGTTGTAAATGCCATTCTTTTCAAATTATATTCCTTGCATTGTTATTCAAAAATGATCTTAAACTTTACGTTCATTTATTCTACTCTTATATTTTTTGTTAAATCCGTCTATTTCAATTTTATTAATACTGACTTTATTTATCGATTACAATGAGTACCTCACTATTTGATATATGATCACGATGACGACTACAATTCAATATTATAATTACTCCCGCAGTGTCGTACTTTTGCATTCTGTCCGAGTTGAAGTTTACTGATCAATCGCAGAAGTTTCAATTTTACATCCTGCCCCCAAAAACTTGATCCGTTCTTCAAAAATCTACAAAAGAGAAACAAATTGGATTTTATTGTCTGTTTTGTTGGTTTATTGTGTTTTAGTGTTTGGGAATTTGTGCTAAAATTTTAACATTTGTAATATTTCCAATTTTCTTTTTTTTTCCCTGTTTACTTTTTTAACGTATCCTTATTTCTAACACTTAAAATACCACGAAAACTGAAAATAATAGATCAGTTCACCTTCCGGTTTGTATTTCGTTGTTTTAGTGTCTTTTCACAAATGTCCAGTTGTTCTTTTATTCAGAACTAAAATTTTTGTACAAAGTCGTATTTTGCATAGTAATTTGTGGGTTGACGGCTCATTTGCACTTATGGTTCATGTGGGTTTATATTCCTTTTGTTGGAAAGTACCATATGATAGAGAAAAAAAGTAAAGGTACAGATAAAATACGATCGCGCAATTTTTACCTTGTCCTGGGAACGACTTTGTTAGAATGGCTGAAATTCAGAATTTAAAAGATTATGTGGAACAGCACTGAACCCGTAAACAAAAACCACTAATTCACTAAAATCACTAATTCTTCCTGACCTGAAACGATCCCGCAAATGTCAGGATTTCTACATTGTATTGTCCTTGATCAGAAAGTGACTCCTTCAGTTCTTGTAGCTTCTTTAGCTTAAAAGAAACACTTGACGCCCAATCTACTTCATTTAAAAAAAAAAAAAATTAAGTCAAATTATTTCTGAATTTGTTACACAAGAAAACGTTCCTTCATGAGTTATTCTTTCATTTCCTTTTTCATCAAATAACATTGAAGATAAGCTAGTCAAAACAAAATTCAAGATGAAAAAATTTAAGACAAAAAACAATGGACGGTTAAAAATTGCATTTCATAAAAATAATAATAACGGGCTAAAATTGTTCACAGCAATTACATTTCAACTTCATCCATTCTGAGGTGCTGTTAACTATCACAGTAAGCATTTAATAGGCTACACAATCACTCACTGGGGTTGAGATGTGAGAAAAAATACAACTACGAAAAATTTTATAGGAACTATTCTGGTTCTGGTCGAGATTATATGTATTCACTGATGCTTCGCTATAAAATTACTAAATGTGCAATCTTGAACTTCCATTTTGATTAACAATTTGCATAACACTGCTCAGTTAGTCACTCGACACAAAAACTGCATGACTAATCGAATCAATACTGACACATCATTAAGCCATTTCATGGAAAAAACGTATAGCACAACAGTCAGTCATACTATTTCTTGACTGAACTAATCACTTTTCAAAAATACGTGGAAAAGAATAGGTCCATCTATTCGGCGAAAAGTCCGTATGAACTATTATTCGCTTAATTCTTTGCATGATGATGATGATGATGATGATGAATGGATCATTCAATCTGAACTCACTGAAAATATGACCACGTATACCGATTTTTTTCTTTTTATAAGGTTAGTTTTTATGAGGTTCATGTTTACCTATTTAGTTCGATCAAATTACCGATCAAAACTTACAGGATAAAGAATACAAACCGAAAGTTCTCCAAACAAGTGTTAATAAAATTAATTCCAGCAATAATCAAAATGTAATCAAATATAATAAAATTAATTCCAGCAATAATCAAAATGTAATCAAATATAATGGAAGGCATGAAAAACTTTTCGTGCAAATCTTACAAAAAAAAAAGAAAAAAATCAATGTACCACCAAAAAATAATGTGATGGTTTTCCAATCTATGAAAATTCAAGCAGTTCACAGTTTTGCTTACACTATTATAAATTTTAATGGTAGAAAAACTGGCCTGTGCATCATGTACAGCCTCAAAAAAATACAAAAGTTGTAAATAGTTCGAAATTAAAAAATAACTATTACAATCCAGTAATCAAAATATATATTTGAGAATTAATTTTGATCAAAAGATTTGAATTCCAGTAAATAATTCCACCCCATCTGCCCGCAATTAAAATAACTTTAGGCTTATGAATTGATGAAAGAGCAATAGCCATTACAACAGCTACTTCAACCAAGAAATCTCTGGTTTACTGGATCATAAGACAGTATTATTAAGAAATGTTTTAAAAAGAAAGTACTTGGAATATGAAGAAATAATTCTCAACTTACGAGAAAAAAAAACCTAAACATTAACAACAGCAACAACTTTACGGAAATCCGAACATTCAAAGAAAAGAAGAATGATATTCGAAATAAAGTTATGGATGTCATGTTACTTCACTATCATTTATACAGCTTAGAACCGAAAATGGGAATTACTTTGCCGAATATTTTGTTGTTAATATAAAAACATAGATATTAGATTTACAATTTGACTTTGGACAAGTAATCTATTTCAGGTAATAAGCCAGATGAAACTTTCAATTTAAATAAAATGCATTAAAGTATGGTACTGGTAATTTCGAACATAAGTTTTGGCTAATAAAAAAAAAAAAAAAAAAAAAAAAGGAACAACAGTAATTCAAAATGCTAAAACAAATTAAACATTCAACGGAATTTTTCAGAAACACGTCTGCTTAAATTGAAAGCAAATAAAATATTACATGTGAAAATGCTTACGGGCTTCCTGCAATCTTTTACGCATATCCAAGACACGTCGCTCTTGCTGCTGGATGTCTTGTTCACTGACTGACATGGCCTAAATAAAAACGAAGTTGCTCCTTTAAAATGTGCCATCTTCGATTGTGAAACTTATTCAGCGTTCAAATAAAAGCTTTTAAAACATATTCTAACTATTCGTTTAAAACCATACAATTTAAATCGTCAAACCATACATCAAAATGTTTAATACCAGATTTGCATACCATTTGTCCTTTTTCTTGAATTCAAAACATCTAATACAGTTCACTTACAGCCTTCCCCACTACACAACTAATTTTTAAGTAGCTAAGAATCTCCAAAAACTAGTTCTAACAATACCATTTCAGACAATTCTGCATACATTAATACACGTAATCATTCTGAAGCTACCGCATTTCAATTTACCTTTGATATGACCCGCCAATACTGCCTTACTGTAGGTAGTTAAAACTTAAGTATGGGAATGGAAATAAAAGTCCAAACATGTTTGAAAACCAACTGTTCGAGAACTAAAATATTACTTATAATGGTCAAATAAATATCTGATTTTAAATTACCATGTTCCATTTCTATCGTGAAAAAGAAATTAAAACTTACTTAGAATTGATAAAGTGCTCATCATTTCCATTCATAGAGCACAAGCTACATCAAATCTTCGATTTTTTGATTCTTAACGAACAAAAGAACCTACTTGAATAAATGGCTGATCAACATTTGTACTGAATGACGGACTTGATTCGAGTTGCTTTTTAGTAGCAGTTTGTCCAGTAATAACTGATGCGCCAAATCCATGCAGCGCAGAGCATAACGATGCTGCCGAGCCATCAGTACCAATAATTCCTAAAGCCGGCTCCATTTTACCCGCTAAATCCAATTTATGAGAAATATGCTCATTGTCATCAATCGTTATACGGTCAGCATTACAAACTGGTACCATTGCACACAGATTTTCCAGAGATTTAGCCCAATACAACTAAAAAAAGATATTTCTGTATGAAATATGTCATAAAGCCCACTACTCATGTAATAAATAAAAACTGGTTGGCTTCAACTATCAACCGAATAAGATTTCACGGAACATAAAAATTAACAAATGGTAATCAAGTTACTGGAAGTAAACAACAATCAACCAAATAAGACAAAATCAGAGAAACCGAGGTTAACATCATATTAACCAGCTCGCACTAACCTGTCGTGGCTTATCAACCTTATTTTTCAGGTTACTGGATGCACAAACACGTCGTAACTGTTCATTAGTTGGATTCTTCGTTTCACGACTTGTCGTATGCACCAACGTAACAGGTTGCTTGAAGATAGATACCGTTTTACGCCATGGAGCATTCAACGGTCCATCAAAGCCACTTTTTGCAATTACAGCAACTCCACGATCTTTGCCATTTTTCATGCCACGCTTTGTCACCGACAAATTGCCTGCTTCGGAACCTTTTGTACGACCCATAAGATAGAAGGGATAAACCCTCAGAAGTTAAAGAAGAAAAAAGACTGAAATCCAATTTGAGATTTAAACTTTGTCTCTAACAATCGAGAAGCAGTCGTAATATACATATGTCGTAGCATGCCAGCTATCAGAGCTTTCTGTCACGACCAAACGAACAATGTAAGTTCATCTGAAATCCGGAAAGAACTTATAGTGAAGCAGCTTAACACTAACAGACTTCAGGCCACTGATAACTTTCCTGACCTAATCACACCTACGAACAAGGGAAACACAAACGGCGCTTCCGCGTGCTCAGAACTTATCAGTCACCTGTCACTCACTCCTCTTCACAGCTCTTCTGATATCCCTACCTCATAACCATACTACCAATCACCGACCATTCATCTGATGTGCAGTCTCCGCTGTCCACAGTAACGGCTAAAGTGCTGCGGAAGAACCCAGCAAACTCTACCCCAGTGCCAACTACTGCGAACTCTCGGTCTTCCCCCTAAATGTCTGCGTTTGCGACAGAGAACACTAACTAACTGGGAGCGGAATAGACGACAGAGTACAAGGTGAGAGTGGGGACACTTCGTGCGTTCGACAGAGAGAACTGCTGGGTGCAAAAATACTTATTAATCGGTGACAGTGACAGAAGTTGAGAAGACGAAGAGTGCAACGAAGGAGGAGCAGACGAGAAACACTTGAGGAGGTCACGAGAACGACAGTTTGTTGGAGGAAGAATTAAGCTGCGTAATGCGATTGCAGAAGGCGGCCTGCAGGACCGTCCTTCCGTCCGTCTCATTGCCGTGCCGCTGATGACAGAAATGCGCAGTTCGGATACGTAATGCAGTGTTGCTTCGCATGCATATCTTGGGTAAGTGAGACTTTAGGTGGGAATGTGAAGAGGTCGATATTACTTTCTTGTGAAATTTTGAAGGACTAAGAGCAGTTGTTTCACTGAACGGAAAATCACATACAACAAACAGGTGCGCTTGTAAACAATAATAGTAACTGTGGATATCAGGTGAGAATACATGGGAATCGGTTGAGTCTAACATAGCTAATTTAGGGAATTTTGTTACGAGAAAGCATGTGAGATGGCTTCTAGCTAAACAAATAGATAAGAAATAGAGAAATGGCATGCACTGCATGCATCGTTATGGAAGATTTGAATCTTAATATCATCTCATAGAATAAGTTAATTACCTCGAAGAATTTGCTGTTTTATAGTACGTAGAAAGTTATTTTACAGAAGAAATTATTCGATACTGTAATTTATTCACGAAATGCAGTAAACGCAGTAAACGTTATCAACGAAAAGAACGAATCACTAATGTTATCTGTTCCACAAACTTCTCAGGTGGAAATATATATTGTTTTTTAGTTTTAAATATTTCCTAGTGACTTACGAATTCGTTCTTAGCTTTTCCATTCGTTTTTTTTTTTTTTTTTTTTCTTTCTGTGGAATGCTTAGTTTCACAGCCTCTTTATGTTTAATTTAGAATACCATTGATAAATATGAAAGTTGAAAATTTAAGTGATTTTCAATTATTTTCTTTTCCAGTCTTATTTGTTTAGGGTAAAGTTTCTGAGACTAGGCGTTTGAAAGTTGCTCTTGCAAGTGGTCGAAGCTTAATGGATTGGATCAAGTTGACATCATCCAGAAGTATCGCGGCAAAGATAAAACGAGATGTCGATCATGTTGAGCTCAGTAAACATGCAAGTGTTGGCGACTGCTGGATTTTACTCGGTGAAAAGGTAAGTCAAAGTAGGAAATCTTTTTAGGTCGTTAGAATGGATTTGCTGTTTGACCTGAAATTTCATTTTTGGGTTTGAAATTTGTGCAGTTGGAAAGCATTGTTATTGAGTTAGAAATTTACCCATTCTAAAGTTTTAACTTTGGTGTTGATATCAGGTGTACGATGTGACAGATTATTTGGCATTTCATCCAGGTGGTGTTGAGGAGCTAATGCGTGTTGCTGGTACGGATGGTACAGATCTTTTCAACAAGATGCATGCTTGGGTTAATTATGACACAATGTTGAAAACTTGCTTTGTTGGTACTTTCAACGGCGATAGATATAAATGTATTTCATTATGATTCCTTTTTTTTTACATCTTTAAAATTTTTTATGATGAGAACAAGGGATTTTGTGGCTTACTGAAAATTCATACAAATATATTGCCAGTTTACGGCAATCTGAAGGATATAAATTGCTTAAGATTTGATTTAAATAAGAAATTTGAAAATTAATTTTTAGTACCCGAGCCGAAAACAACGAATTTTACTGAAGAAACAAATTCAGACATCGTCAATTTTGAAACAGCTAGGGTAAGGTATGGTATTTTAGCAAAGGTCGCTTAACGTTCGTTTTTCACGAATCAGTAAAATAGTTTGGTTCTTTGTTATTTGTAAATACGTTAAAAAAAATCTAAATCATGTTTTATATTCTACATACTGCAGGTAATTGATGTGCTATATGTAAACAAATATGTCTTCATTATTACTTACTATTTGCTAGCAATTAGCAGTATTTCTTTCGGAAACGTAGTTCAATCTTTTTGCAGTTTTCTTTTTTTTTCTATTCTCTTATAACATTTATAGCATGCTGTATAAAAAAATGTCCTAGTTTTCCTCTAACTTTGTGATTTTCTATTTTTCTGAAAGTATTATTTCCAGAGCAGAAGTTAATTCTGACGGTCAGTTATCAGTAAGTTGTCCGAAATGGGATCAGCTGAAAGATGAAAATGTATCCTTGGAATTTACGGAGAATGTGCTGAGACTCTTATTGCATTTTTCTTCCGGTAAAACAGAGGCATTACAATGGAGTAAGTTCTGTATCATTGTTCTGCTTGCTTTGCTCTCTATATTCCTGCTTTTTACTTCTTACCTTCGCTGCTCATCTTTCACTCTTTGTTTTTTTTTTTTTCTTTTTGCTGTAAGTAATTCTTCACGTTTTACTATCCATCAAACATCATTTGACATATGAAGTTATACTAGGTACTTCTGAAATAATTTTTCTTATATTAACGCTTTATCTTTTTTATTTACTTTTGCGGCTTTCTTGATAGTATATGAGTCTTTTTATCGGCGAAGGTCAGAGCAGTAGTTGGACATTTTATCCACCTTTAACAATGGAAGGGCTGAAGTTATTTGTAAATTTATGATTTTATTTTGTTGAGTGTATTAATTTTATGGTTGCTACTCCAAATGTACGATCTATCGCAATTCTGAATTGTAAGTTTGAGAACTGGTCCACATAATCACACATTTAGTATTGGCATATCCTTGAACGTCTTTTTATCTTTTTTATTTATTTATTTTTTTATCTTTATTTTCGACTTTTTATTTGCAGTTCATGTTAAACATTGTTTAGCACATATATTTCTTCCTAGAAATGTTTTGAAAAGTAAAAGCACATTTTGCTGATGAGTGTTCTATACATGGAAGTGCAGAAATTCCCTCGTCTTATTGTTTTCTGTTTAATTGCAGCAAACATATCAACAGCTTTTTTTACTGAACCTTTTCGTGTTGGTATTAATGACAAAGCAATATTTTTGTCATATAAAATGATTGATGAGAATATCAGTCGTCAGTGGACTTCGGGATCGTATCATTATAAACCAGGTATCGTCTTTTTCTTTTCGTAAGACGAAAGGATGTTTTATCTTTTTTACTAATACTTTTTAAAATTTAAATAATTCTCCATAAGCATTGCTTGCTATATATATAATTCTTGTATTAGAAATACAAACATTGCCATTTATTTCGGGTTGAAGCAGATGCTGCATTATATCATTTTATAAATCCTCAAATTTTAGTATTGAAGTATCGAAGTTGTGTGATATTTGAGATGTATGATATAACACACGATACTACTTCAGTTGTTTTGCAAATGGCTTCTCACTGTCGTTTAATGATACCTATCGGGCATCACGTTCTGCTGCGGATCTGCGTTAATGGTGAAATCTTATTCAGCAACTGCTAACGTCATAAATTTAATCCTTTTCATATTAGGTTTTACATTGAGCTTAAAGACTGAACGAAGTTTATATGAGAAAACTTGGAATAAATATCATATCTAGGTGACTTCAGGAATTCGATGCAAAAATTGAAACAAGCTTAAAACAAGTGGATATTTAAGATTTAATTAAATTAGAATAGGTATTGTATGGATTTGAATTTTAAAGGAATTTGAAGTTGATTTGGGAGAAGATTTAATGTGTTTCTACTGTAGGAAGTTTGATCGAACGTCCATATACTCCGGTTCTTGTGTCGGAAGATGGGCAGTTCATCTCATTTATGATAAAATTTTATAAAAATGGTGTTTTCACTTCAAAATTGCGCAGCAAAAAATGTGGTTAGTTATAAATCTCGTTTGACTTTTTGTGTATTCGAATATTTCAGTGCGAGCAGTTTAAATTCAGACTTTTTAATGAATCGTTTCTGCCTGTAGTTGTTGTGCGTGTTATACTATAAATAAAGCTTTTCAAAGGGAATTTATTATCCATCAAGTAATTCGTTGCAGTTAACTTTCGGGATTCATTTGTTTTTAAGGGGATTTGATCGAAATTAGCGATGCGTTAGGATGTTTTAATGTGTTGCCCGATTACCCTGGTATCGTGTTAATGCTCGCAGCTGGAACGGGTTTAACACCCATGATTCGATTTATGGTTAAACGTTTGAAAAATAATAAAAAGTATGACTTGCTCTGTTTCATTTAAAGAAATTAGGCTGACATCTTTTTCGGATGTTTTTAAGTCTCCTTATTATTTATATATGAAATATTTGTGAAGTTTTCTCAAAAAATCTTTCTTTGATTAATTGATTTAATTATTTTGGTTCCTGTTCATTCTTAAGATGTCATTTTTTAGGGCAACTATAATTCTCTTCAACAGAAAGGAGATGGATATTGTATCAGACGACTATTTTACGAAGTGTGAAATGCCACTGAGTCATCCTTTGCTAGAGATAAAACATTGTTTAAGTGAAGCTGACGAGAAATGGGATGGCGAAAAAGGTTTTATTGCATTTGAGAAACTAACATCTACTTTATAGAGAATTTCTAAAGTACTAAAAAATTGGATTAAATTGGAGTCTTGGAGAAACTGAACAGAATTTAATTTATCTGTAAGTTATTTTTAGGCATTATTTCGAAGCAAATACTTTCAAAATATATTGATGAAGATGTGAAAAAAACCGGTTATCGAATATTAATTTGTGGGCCTGATCCTTTCATTAGTCTTGCAACAAAGTAAGCACATTTTAATGAGTAAAATTTATTAAACGGTATAGTACTATTGTGGAAGGGATTTTCTATGTAAGCCATATACAAGATTGTTGTTATGTTATGTTGACAACACTGGTGTTATGTTGATGGATTCAGATATTAATGAGATGCTGTCACTGCTCTTTTCCAGGTTGTGATAAAAATAAATTTTGCTAATTTCAGATTGTTGAGAGAATCAGGAGTGTCTCTGAAACATATTTATATTTTCCAGAGTTAATTGAGGCAGCCATTTGCTTTAAAGCAAGATGATTTCAAATTACTGGATGGATCTTTACATTAAAAAGTTAATTTAGACTTTTGTTCATTTCATATCTTAAAGAGTGTAACTTACACATTTTTGTTTAGGGAGTTTGTGTTCCGGTTTTCTCATCGGACATGAATTTCCCATGAGGAAACCATTTTTTTTTTTGACCACTTTCCTAGGTAGCTCATGAACATGACGTGCTTTCTGTGTTTGAGGTTATTGACTTCTTTTTAAGGCCGAATTCTTTCTTGAGGAGTTTTAATGTAATGAATTGTCAGAACGTGTTTTATTCTATAATCGAGTATTCAAGACTTGCATGATTATGGGACTTTATATTTCAGGTATCCTAGTAGTAGTCTCTTTTGTGTTTTCTTTGCATTCAGTTTGTCCTTGAATTGTTACAATTTAGATTTATTCACAAGTTCAAATAAAATATTTTGGTGAAAAGTCAATATGGTTTTAACGTTGCATTCAATATGGTGTTTCCTTTTCAGAATGGTTCAAAATGCATGAAATTTCGAGTATTGGTGATGTATATTTTGCTAACTTTCTCTAGGAAAAAAATTGTGAAATATGAATCTTATTGAATCTTGAACAAGAGCTTTTTATATTTAATCCACCAATCTTATCGCTGTCGTAAACATCATACTTTTGTAGCTTTCTTTATGAGCAAGTAATTGCTTCTAATCGATCTAGGTATGTCATTTACTGAATTTAATATGGATAAAATTTCTTTCCCTCTACCATTGTTTGATTGCTGTTTAGAAGTTACCATACTGCGAATATCTAGATCGTACCAACAGCTCATAGAATGCGAATCTGGAATAGTTTACATTAAGGAATTAGGACTTGAAACTTAAAGTGCTCTTTTTTTTCGCTTGATTAGAAGTGTCTTGAAAAACTGTAATCCACTGATTTATTTCCTTATAAAAATGAAGTGATACGATAAGACTTCATAGGATATTTCCCGAAGAACTCATCTATTAACAATTCTCAGCAGTTAGTGGTGGATGCATAAAGAATCGTTAGTGATCACTTTCTTGAAGTGATCATTTGCTGAAATATATTAGCCAGATTGGATCAGTGGTCCTCCTATGTTCTTTGGCCTCAAGTATTGTCGTGTGGTCAAAAGTCAGGTTTGTCACTATGTCTATTTTCGATTCAGTGTCTTTGCAGTTCATACAGAGACTTTTCGTTGTTTATTTATAGTGAAGTGTGATTGTTGTTATAGTGGGAATAGTTCTCGAGAAGACTTATTAATGGGTCTTGAAGATTTTAGCTTTACTGAAGTCAACGATGGGCCAGTTTCTGTCTACAACTGCGTCAGTGGATGAAGAAAGTATTCTGAGGGAAGTGAAACATTTCCCGGTGGTTATGTTTACAATGCCGAGGTGTCCATACTGTGTGAGAGCTAAACAACTGCTAGATGCAGAACGGATCGAATATAAGGAAAACAACTTGGATGTTCATCAGGTTAATTTTCATTGGTCTATTGATTGTACCAAGAATGAAAGGAATAGTAATTAGCAAAATTAAGAGCATCATATAAAGTCTCAGTTAAATTTAGTTTTTGTGTAATGATTATGACTTTCAAATGGCACAAAGCATTAAGTGAATAAGTGCTAAAACAGTTCTTTTGCAAGTAATTAGTCATGAGTTAGTGCACTTTTGTGATTGTTATCAAATGTAATGTAATGAGGATAATGGACGATATGCAGAATGGTATGGCGAGTAGTTCAAATAATATATCAGTTTTCGGATGAAATCCAAGGACCAAGTATCTGTAACAATTGCTGACATGAGTAATTTACTGTTGATTAGGCAGGACAGTTATGTACTACTATCTTTGGGTGAAATACTTTGTAGACATAATTAAATTTTGACTAAAAATTTGTAGATTTAATTTTTTTTTTTTTTTTTTTTCATATAAAAACTTGTTGTGCAGCTATATTTTTCAGCGTTGTTTCCCAGCAAATCATCAGTCATATATTAATGGATTAATTAGTATCACAAAGCAAACTTCGGTACCTCAGATATTTATTTGTGGTGATTTCATCGGTGGATTTACGGAACTGCAGCAATTAAAGAATTCTGGATTGTTACTAAATGCGATTGACAAATGTCGTTCTCCGGAAAAAGATTTCTGATAGCTGTTTTTTTAGTTAAAAAAAAAATCCTCGAAGATTTCTTTTTTTTTCCATTTAAGAGGTTTATTAAAACATTTTTGGATTTCCATGTTTTCCATGTCATTTTAAATTGTCTTCATATATTTTTGATTTGTGCTGTTAATGTGAAACCCTTTTTCCATTTCAAAATTGAGAGGTTTTTCCAGCTTTTTATTTCTGAACAGCGTGCATGTTATTTATTTCTGACATCCATGGTCATGAGGTTTGGATTCTTTTAGAGCTATTTATTTGCCGGCACTTCCTGATTTATTTGATACATGTTATTTTTTTAGTTGGAATGAAATTGAATTCAGTGGAAATAGTAACAGGTTAAATTTATTAATCAAATTCAGTTTTATTCAACTGAAATTGGTTTGTTAGATTTAATTAAATTGAATAAAAATAAAAAATTTTACTTTCAAGTTAACCCTTACAATTTATCTCGCAAATGTTATCAAGCGATTATTTATTCACTTCATTATCATTCATTTTTCCTCATTTTTAATTTGTCTGTAATTTTTTCTAGTCTGTTGGATTTTGTAAATGTTTTTGTTTATACGTTGAACGCTCAGACTTTGCATATGTTGATAGTACCCTCGGTGCCTATATTTAACTGCTGTTTCATCAGTTTGCTTTATAACACATTTTTACAATTTAAACGGAAAGGTTTTTTACCCTAAAATTTGTTTTTTGATTAGGTTGAACTTGTCTGAATTATATAATGAATGAAAATGTTTTGGATTGAATTGAATCACATTTTATTTATGATTAATGAAAACAAGTTGAATTATTGAGAATGCACAGAGTCAGTGTTCTGTGTGACAGAGTCATTGTTCGGTTCGGTAAGATTGAATTACGGGCTGGTCCTTCTCGGTCAAATTAGGTTTCTGGTTTTTCCGGTCTCTATGTATACATCGTATTACTTTTTTTTTTCTGCAATTTGGAAATGGCATAAGGAAGATTTCATTCTTTTAGATCAAAAGCTCTTTTAATTTGTAATATTTCGCTTGGCATTCATGTAGAAACGTATGAAATAGATATCAAAAATTTTCGTTATCGATACGATGCGTTCGATGTTTTGTGAAGGAATGCATTTACTGTTTTGTTTAGTGTTAATAAAGCATTTGGCGTGAGATCTTTTTCGGATTTATTGACACTTTTTGACATAGATCATATCTTAGATTAGTTCAAATAACAGTTGTTTGCATTTGATGAACTCTGTGCTGCACTTCATTCTGGGAATTACTGAGATAGTATAAATGATGCTACTTGTTTTGATCATTGTAGTACAAATGATTTTTCAGTTGCGGAAGGATAACTGATACTTTTATTGGATTTTATGACTATTTTCTCGATGTCTAGTGTTGAGATCTATTCGTTCCTAAAAATTTTGTACTTTTTCTTTCTGGAAGTCACTGTTTATTTCTCTGAGTGTTTACAGTTTTGATTTGGGTCATAAGTTTGTTCAAGCCGATCAAATTTTGTTTTTAGATGGATTTATTGCCACCGTTAAAGATTGATGATGAGGAAGAAGAAAAGCACTCAAGGAGTGTTCGTAATGAGTCTTTATCATCCTTGACACTTGTCGATGGTTACAACGATGATCCATTTTTGAATGTTGACTTTTGCAGTTTCAAATTACATCGTTTATTAGGCAGGTATGTTTGTTTGCACAATGCTGTTATTTCTACTTTCTTTTCATACCATTTCTTGAAACAAAGACTCAAATAATGAATTTGTAAAAAAAGTATAACTCTGATTCCTATTATAATTTATTGGATTTCATGGTACTATAAGGAATAAGGAGATTTTTACCAGGACCAATTAGTTTATCTAAAATGGTCTGCTATTAAAACATGAGATCATACCGAGTATGGCAACAGATAGATTTATGAAGTTCGATGTGAAATTATTCTGTTAAATTCAACTGATGTTAAATTTATGGAAACGTTAAAACTATTTTTCGATCTTCTCTGGAAGATGTATGAAATCATACATAGGAAACGAATGTGAAATTAAAGAAACCACTTACGCTATTTAATGTAATTCATTGCAAGTATTTTTATATTGCTTTCAGAGGGAGTTATAGCGATGTATGGAAAGCACAATGCAAGGAAGTAACAGTAGCGTTAAAGATTATCAATTCAACTGATGAAGTTCTCCGAGGAATCTTTTATCACGAGGTTTTGTATTTTCTTTTTATTTTCAGTATTATTGGACAGAAATCTTGTTAACAATATTATAGTGAGGATAAGATACAATATGTTAAATTAACAGAAACGTTTCTGTTAATGAAGTATAAAATTTCACAAAATTTATTGCTTTCTCACTAAAATTTTCAAATGAAATTTTTGCAATCATTTAAGGTGGAAGTGATGCGCAACTTAGTCCATCCAAACATCATTGAAATAATGGGTGCATGCGTTTATCCAGTATATGCTATAGCAATGGAATATATGGCATGTGGTTCTCTCGATCAATGTAAGCTTTGAATAATTTCCCATTTTTTTTCTTTTTTTTGAACGACAATTTTGATTCATTTAGATGTATGGCGTAGTTTTCTTAGTAGCTATCTTCTTACTACAATCCGTTTTGTTAATTATACAAAATAAATATCTTTTGCTCCAAAATATCTTAAAATATTTAAACACAACAACACAATTAAGTTATTCCTCGTTAATCAGTAATTACTGTCATACTAATTTTGTTGTATATACTACTTGATGCAGTTGACAGTTCTTCATACCTGTTTTACTATGGTAATTGAAAAGGACATATCCTGGAAAATAGTCGCTAAATAGCAGCCTAATTAATGACAATTTTCCAATAGATAGAGAAGATAGATAGATAGATAGATAGATAGATAGATAGATAGATAGATAGATAGATAGATAGATAGATAGATAGATAGATAGATAGATAGATAGATAGATAGATAGATAGATAGATAGATAGATAGATAGATAGATAGATAGATAGATAGATAGATAGATAGATAGATAGATAGATAGATAGATAGATAGATAGATAGATAGATAGATAGATAGATAGATAGATAGATAGATAGATAGATAGATAGATAGATAGATAGATAGATAGATAGATAGATAGATAGATAGATAGATAGATAGATAGATAGATAGATAGATAGATAGATAGATAGATAGATAGATAGATAGATAGATAGATAGATAGATAGATAGATAGATAGATAGATAGATAGATAGATAGATAGATAGATAGATAGATAGATAGATAGATAGATAGATAGATAGATAGATAGATAGATAGATAGATAGATAGATAGATAGATAGATAGATAGATAGATAGATAGATAGATAGATAGATAGATAGATAGATAGATAGATAGATAGATAGATAGATAGATAGATAGATAGATAGATAGATAGATAGATAGATAGATAGATAGATAGATAGATAGATAGATAGATAGATAGATAGATAGATAGATAGATAGATAGATAGATAGATAGATAGATAGATAAAATGATTGGTATGTTGAACTGGTTTTGGAAAGTTTTTTAATAATTTTTTTAAACAATTTCAGCAATATTTTCACCTTATACAATTTCACCTTATAGCCCCGGTAATACGGGTAGGAACAAAGTTTATTTTTAGTGTTACACAAGTCAGAAAATATAAGCTATAAGGCAGATCATGCATTCGATTGGGCGTCGCAATGTATTGATGCATTAACTTACATACACCGGAAAGGATTTGCACATGGTGATTTGAAAACTGCCAAGTATGATCTGTTTTCCTTTTTCCAGTAGGCTAAATTTTGCATCATCATGTCGAAGCTTAATTTCAAGTTTCTCACTGCATACTGCTGTATATGATTGCTCTTGCTTTAGTTTGCTGCTTGATGACAACTGCCATTGTCTTAAAGTTGCTGATTTCGGTACGATGGTGTATATGAACACTGATACAGAGTATAGGCAAGGATCAGCAGCATGGATGGCTCCTGAGGTATGCTGTGGTTTCTATAGTTCTCGATCGTTTAAATTTGATTTTTGTAATGAAAATTTGCTTGAAGGTTTGGAACAATTCAGTAATTTAGACTAAGAATAGGAAAATGGCAAAAAATATAAAAATGTACGAATTTGAAATCAGAACTCAAATTTTTTCGCAGATCATCGCTGGTTCATCACCTTCAAAGCAGTCAGATATTTATAGTTTTGGAATTGTACTCTGGGAAATAATTACACGCATGCGACCATATAGTAATTGTAAAAGTGCCGAGGAAATATTGTGGAGTGTACGTTCTTATATAAATTCACGGTTTTTATTCTATTAAGTGGAAAATTTCCAACACCTGAACGAGATTATATTAGATGATCTAGGTTATTGGGACTTTTAAAGACCTTCGAGATTAAAATTCGAGATAAAATTCTGTTTTCATTAAGCTTTTTCAGGTTTACGCTTTGAAATTTTTTTTCATTAAAGACTTTTAGGTCTATGCAGGTCTGAGGCCGCCGCATATTCAGGATATTCCAACTAAACTTATGCAAATGATTGAACGGTAGAGGTTTCATTCTTCTGGCACGAGATGAAGCCTTACTTTCCTTCACTAGTTATTAATTTCTTCAAGAATAGTGTAAAGGGAGAACAAATGTTTTTTTACAAAGTTTGAAATTCTATTTAATAAAGCATTTAAGAATCTTAAAGTCGAATTCGAAGGCCAAAACAGTTCATGTTATTTTTGTTTGTAGTTGTTGGCAGAAATTGCCAGAGGAAAGGCCTTCCATAAAAGAAATCCGAAAAGTACTTGCCATACTTCGTAAGGTAATTTTTTTTTTTTAATTTTAATATATTTAATAGGATTTTATTTCTAGTATGTATTTAGTGTGATTTACTTTGTAATCTATTTAAACCTGTTTGAATGATGAACTTTTGAAAATTTTGATGCTTGAAACATTCAGTTGGTCTGTCCTTGACAAATGATTTCAGTGCTTCCTAA